TGAGGAGTGAAGCCTGAGGAGCAGGAGTGAAGCCTGAGGAGCAGGAGTGAAGCCTGAGGAGCAGGAGTGAAGCCTGAGGAGCAGGAGGTCACAGGGTTTGTTTCCAGTGGCAAAGTCAGAACATGGCCTCACCTGAATACACCTGACTGGATACTGTATATGTTCTACCCCGGGGTAGAAATGGGGTCACTGGGGTGGACTTCCTCTATACACACACACACACACACACATGATCTCTGACAATGACAGTTAAATCAGTCGTAGTTTTATTTTTGTATTTTATGATGCAGTTTTTAAAAAAGATCCTCCGCATACCACTAGAGGGAGCCTCAGTACCACCACTGGTACTGCCTACTGTAGTTTGAGACCCACCACCTTAAGAATGTTGAACACACATCCCCTTCTTGGACAAATATAAATGTGGCTCTTAAAAGAATCTAATTTGGTGAAAAGTAAAAACGTGACCCTGGTTTTTGACCCAACGATTAAAAAACAAAGTCTGAGTTTTATTTTTGTTATGAACCGCACTCTAATTATTGCAGTCTAATGCAATGTGATATTATGAAAGTTTTATTAATGAAAAAATATTTTTCTGTCAGTTCTACTAAAAATTGTTTTCCTGTTAGGACTCCGACTCCGGTTCTCCCAGAGTCGGGTCTGCGGTGGAACCGTCCTCCGTTTGTTTGTTTTTTCTTAAAGAACATGTCGGTCTCTCTCGTCTGTTGCAGAAACCCTTCTGAGCTTTGTGGATGACATCATGTCAGGGGCCAGGTCTCCGTGTGTGATGTTGGGGGACATTCCAAACCTTCTCTCCATTTCCGTCAGCATGATCATCCGCTGTCTGGAACCTGACACCACCTACATGTAAGTCTTTTTTTTTTGCTCATGACAATTAAACTTCCTCGTTAAAGCATCAACCGATTTGGTGCAGATCTGAACACGAGTGCTGACTCATCACGTGCAGTAGCAAACATTATCCTCACACGCTGACATTCTGGATGTAAGAGCCTCACAAATGGCATGTTAGGAATAAATAACCAAACCAAAAGTACTGCAGACCAAAGAGGGATAAAGTTTCCTGCCAAAAAGAACAGGAGAGGAAGACACCCCGCCAGGCACGTCATTGGCCACTGTCCCAGCACCTTGTCCTCAACCGAAAACATAAAGAAAACAATCAGAAAAAAACTAAATCAGAACTCTAACCCAGTCCAAATCAACAAAGTTAAATCAGGAGGAGAACGCTGTTACTGTGGCGCTCAGACAGAACAAGAACCCGAACCCCCTCAAATCCCCCCCCAACCTGCTCCATCTCCAGAGCAGAACTAGAACAAGGTGAGGAGGAAGAGAAGAACACAGCAGCACAAATGCTAACATTCAACATTTAAAAAGTCTTTATTTTTAGAGAATAACAAAACTATTTCTCTACATCATCAAAATGTTGGATTTGTTTTTATTTAACACCTATAGTAGCAAATTATTATTATATATATATCCAGCCGTTTAATTTGAGTTTTTGCAACAAAGTTTGGGGTGTCATTTATCAACATCTCTGTTCAGTTTTCATGACAAACATTTCCAGAGAAGGAGAAGCTGCAGTTACACAGAATGTGTCACTTAATCCTCAGCAGAGTTTAAACCAACATGAAACTGAATAACACGCAAACATTCACAATGATCATTTTTCTTTTGTTGTGGAATGTAAGAGCGAGGGGAAAAGAAATTTAAAAAATAAGTAGAAAGAAGCAGAACATCAGAAGCAAAACTAAACAAATACTTTTGGAGAATGTTTGCTCTAAGTGAGACTGTCTTTTCCTTGGAGGGCAGTGCAGCTCAGTGCTCACTTTATTGTGCAATTCCACAAGTAAACATATTTTTAAACTTTGCTGAAAAAGGGTCAAGACTTTGATAAAATAATAAAATAATATCATTTTCTCTGCCTGTTCTTACTCTTGCCTGACAATCAAATGTGAAACATCAGGTTGTTCCTCTTGTTTATCCTTTTCTTCACTGCAGTCCAATGCAAGCTGCGATAGGGCCACTAGGGGGAGACATCCATTCAATAATATGATTGCTTTGAAAGGTTCCATTAAACCCGGGCTCTGATTTCCATGAGGAGTAAAAGTTGATGTAATGCAGTAGCAGTAGATGACCATGTGTGTGTGCGCGTTTGTGTGTGTGTGTGTGTGTCTGTGTTTGTGTGTCCTTCATCATCTGTGTGTGCAGGTTCCGGCTCTGGGCAGTGGACAACACGGGGCGCCGTTCCAGTCCAAGTGAGGTCACCATTAAAACTCCATGTCCAACTGTGGATGACGTCAAAGCACAAGGTGAGGAAGGAAGGAAACACGCGTTAAAGTCAGAAAGGTGAACAGCCCTCGTTCCTCCTGCTGCGTGACTCACTGAAACTGTGCTTCGTATCATTTTAAATTAACAACAAACGCCTTTTGTCAACGTCCAACACATTTCGTGAGACCAATATCCTTGATTTTTATAGTCTTACGTATCAGATGGAAAAAGGTTTTTGTTCTTCTATTTAACAAACATCAAGCAAACAAAAATACTTACATTAATAGCCTTGGTGCAGTGTAGTTGTAAATAAACTATAATTATTTTTAAAATATTCTTAAGTGACAGAACAAAAATACTCGAAGGTAATAAACTACAACAAATTATGAAAATATATATCAATTATCAAGTATGGATAGAAAAGGGAAGTTGTAGATTTCCCTGTTTTTTTCCATCATCCAGAAATGTAAACGCAGCATTTATTCGCAGCCTTAGCAACAAAACAAATGAGTGCAGAGAGTTGATTCATTTAAGGGACTGAGAGAGTGTTTTAAAAATAAAATCTGCAATAAATCACTCTTACTAGAGTAACTATTACATCTGGGTGGATCCTTGTAGGAAGACAGACGCGACAGCATCATTGTATTTTTAATGTGAGAACAAAAAGAAAATGTCAATGGAGACGTTGAGGTGGGTTGTGTGAATTCAATTCTTTTTTCTTCTCTCCACTCCAGAAATAGCTGACAAGATCTATAACCTGTTCAATGGCTACACCAGCGGCAAAGAGCAGCAGACGGCCTACAACACGCTGATGGACCTGGGAGCTCCCACGTTGCACCGCGTCCTCTACCACTACAACCAGCGTTACGAAAGCTTCGGAGAGTTCACCTGGAGGTGTGAGGACGAGCTGGGCCCCAGGTACGGCCTTTACCCTGAGACACAGACCCATACTGTCGTGATCTTGGTCACACGTGGAGACCAGTGTTTTATTTGAGCTGTGCTGCGTGACGGTTCCTGAAATATAAACATGGAACCAACATGACAGAAATCATTTGTCGTGAGTGAAATGTGTTCTTCCAGAACGTCCACATGATGAGTGAGTTCATCAGAGTGCATCACGTGGAGCCGCCGGCGTGCACGGCCCTGTGGCTCTGTCCTCACACAGACCTTTTTAAATGGTAAAGTTGGCCCGAGTTGACTGGCAACCGTCTCTGAAACCACGCAGTTGCTGCGACATCCCAGCATCAAAAGTGCAATCTGTCAGTTCAAACTTGTGTAATTGACACTGAAGTCCCCAAAAAGCAACCCCACAGCCTGGCCCACAGATGAAGGAGACGTGGCCACGGGACAAGAGCTTTGGTTGGATTGCATTTTGGTGCGAACAAAATGTTCAAGTCCAATTTCAGCAGACGCAGCCTTCAAAACACAGTAGTCCCCAGCAAATTCAAATATGTTGTAAAGGCACAGATTTAGCTGTTTGCACTTCATAAAAAAAAGTGCGATTTGGACGGGCCTGAAATTACAGATATGCTCCATTAGTGACTACTTTATCTCCTGTTGGCTGTGTCCAACGTCCTCCAGTCCAAACAATAATTTATAATAATTATCCCTCGCTCAGGGTTCAACTGCTTGAGACCTGCCACATACCATCATCTGTACTGATCTCAGTCAACGATTAGAGACCGCCTGTTTATTTAATCAACCAAAGACTAGTGTATTTTTATACTGCACATTTTTACAATGAAAAAAAAAAACATCGGTATTTATATATAAACGTGTGACCTGATTTTATTCAAATATGTCTTTAGTTTTTTATTATTTTTTATAGTAACTTATGTTGCCATAAGTTGCCCTGATAAAGGGCAGACTCAGCATGTTGCCATAAGTTGCCCTGATAAAGGAAACATTTTTTAATTATCACTTTGTGCAGAAACATCACCTGAACTCTGACCTAAGATAAAAAGATCTGAGCCTCAGAAAAGTGTTTTACTGCACCTGGTGCAGGTCAGTTTCTCCCTTTAAATAAAGGGCCAGTCTGTTGCCTTAGTTTTGTTACACTGAGTACTAAGTAAGTCCTCAGTACTGTACTTGGTTAAGGTGGTGATTTTCTAACGAGTAGGAAGTCAGCCTAATTCTAATTCTTCTTCTACTCGTCCGTCTGTGCAGTCTTAGCAGGATAAATAAAAGAAAACAACGATCCCAGGCCAGGAGCGTTGTGAGATGCTATCTCTCTGACAGGTTCTGGAACCATCTCTGGTCTCCGCCTGGATCCACAGATCATCCTGCAAAGATGCCAGTTCCACCCCTGCTGGCTGGTCTCGACGTGAGGAGATGTCTTATCTCCTCCACCTTCATCTGAGACACAGCTCCGCTGTTGGAACGTGGTTTTTTTTTCCTTTACGTCTGTTGTACTTAGAGAGTCTTTTGATCGTTAGCGTTAGCTCATTTCGCCGCAGGTGTTAGAATCCCACAGCAACGCAACTTTCCTCTCCACTTTTCCAGTTCCTCCCTGTATTGAAAACCTGCTACGGCGTGCGGGGTCGCCGGGTCAATGAAGAACTGTCCCTGGTGTTGATATCAGTTTTGGCGCCCGTGTGTTCTCACTGGTGTTTTTGTTCAAAGCTTGACGTCGTCTTACCTGGGGGGCCAGGGTTTAGCACCGCCGTGAGGCACATTTCTGTAAGACGTGTTGTCTCTGTAAGGCCAGTCTGAGTTCAGCTGTAAAAACTCTCCCGGTCCACTGCCGTCCAGAGCATGTCCTTGTTTGGAGTCCGTGCCCCCCCGATGATTCAGTTTTCTGGGGGGTCGGTTTCCTTCTTTAATGACAGGCGTTTTAATCAGAGGAGAGCTTGAAACAACAGTTGTTGTTATGGTTGAATGTCTGTCAGGAAAGTCTAATCAGGCTGATAATTACCAGAGTGTGTTTACCAGGCTGTCTGACTGTGAATAGCTGCAAAGACAACAGAAAAACACAGTTTTCAGCTGCTGTGATTTATGACTGTCTGTGATTGAATTTCATACTTTCATGTAAAACTTTCCAGTAAAAATCTCCCATTATCAACCCCTTTATAACATTGTTATAGGATGACTTAACTACTTAAATGACCTCCTGCGCCCCCCACTGTCAGAGTGAAAAATGTAATTTTTTTTTCCACATAACAGAACTGAGCTAAGGATAAACAGAGAAGTCTTAAAATGGATTATTTCAGTGTTACTGGGAAGGTTCCAACTTAGAAAACTTTAGGAAACTGGAGAATACCACGAAAGAGAAATTCTGTTACCGTAACGACACAGTGGCTGCCGCAGTACATCTGTGTACTGGATGGACGTTTTAATTACATGTGATACATTTATACATTTACTCACACACAGAGTACCGTGGTACTCCAAGAACAGAGAACCTGGAGCTGATTCAGGCCTGAAGTCCTCCTTTAAACTGAAATGTGTGTGTGTGTGTGTGAGGAAAAGAGCTACTGATGTTTAGTTTGTTAGTTTACAGTCAGCAGTCGGACGGCAGGATGTCCGATATTAACTTTTTGCTGATATTTTCCAAACACTTTCCGATTCCGATATAGACCTGATAATATTTATTTGTTTATGTGTACAAGCCACTGCATCTTTCTGACTTTCACTTTAATATACGTATTTGTTTATGTGTACAAGCCACTGTAGTGTGTTGCAGTGCTGCCATCTTTCTGACTTTCACTTTAATATACAGCCGTTTGTCCCCAAAACTTTTTTTTAGATCACACATCATTTGGGGAAACCCAAATGATGTGTGATGTTGTCGGGTTTTCATTATCGGAGGACAAAGTGATAAGGATTCTTACAGATATGACATAATCAGCAGGGTTAAGACTTGAATGTCCTGGAAATGTCCGTGCGTTCTTTGCTTCCATCGGGAACGACGTGCGAGCTGATATCGGTGTCCGTCGCAGCAGATCATCTGCCACCATCTCACCACGTCTCCTGTTCCCAGTCTCACTGTTACATGATCCATCTGTGTGTCCTCATTCACTGCAGCCATTCATCATCTCCTGGGTTTTCATGTTTTCTTCCCACTTGGCAGCTCTTCTGTGAAATTAGTTTTTTTCTTCTTCTTCTTCTTCTTCTTCACTTGCTCACTTAGGACATAAAAACATCAGAGTTTGACTCATGCTTGGGAGCCATAATGAAGGGCAAAATGTTCCCAAAAAGTAAAACACAGACAAAAGAAAGCAAATGTAGCACAATCCATTGTATCGCAACAGGTGAATGTAAAGAAAATCATCTTCAACATAAAGCACAGCGTAACGTGGTAAACCAAGGACTCACTAGATTTTAGTTTTGGTATTTTAACTTAGACTTTTATCTAAATCATAGCAGGTCTCACTACTGTCTTTGAAATGTCAGTCAGACCATCAGTTTGGAGTCTGATCTCGTAGTTCTGTCGATGACATCACTGCAGTTACAGTTACATCAACCATCTCCGTTCCCTGCTCCGTGTCTCCTCCTCCTGTTTGTCTTTGTCACGTTCTTGTTTTATTTGTTTTTGTCTCGTCTTTTCTTCAGATCTCGCCCTCTCTCCACTCCTGTCTTCACCTTTGACTCCACGCCCCGCACAGTATATATATGTATATGTGCTCTGTGCCGGGTCACTCTGCTCTGTTCCCAGTGTTTTATATCTTTAAAATGACTGTTTCATTTCATTGTCGTTAATGTACGGCTCTTTGAAACGGGAGGAATGTTTTCGTACTAAACAAAAAAGTCTGAAGCTGTCGTTACATTAGACGACAGGGGATGAAACCGAGGATGTAGTAGAAAAAAAAATTAAATAAAGATTAAAATTAAACATCTACACAGTCGTAGCCAGAAGAACAGACAGTGAGCAGAGCTTTCACACCAGTTGCACATTTCAATTCAAATCAAAGTGTCAGTTAAACTGAAACGAACCGTCTCTGTGTTTCAGTAAAACAGTTTGGTTTATTAAGGCTGCACTCACACTGGGACCAGTTGTCCCGCACTGATGCCTGAGGGACAGTTATTGTCCTGGACTCACCTCAACCTTGGTGTTCTGGGTCAGAAACGTCCCTGTGTTTTTTGACGTTTCCAATCACGTCCGTCCCGATCCTCCCAACGTCCCCTCAGGGCCGTACATCAGCTCCTAACTTTTATCTCAGTGCAACATTATTGAAGCTTCCATCTCACTTTGCTGCTGCTCGCTGACATTGAAGCGTAGGTGCTGTCAACACTATCTCGCCCCGGTGATTTCGGTGCTTCTAGCAGACGTGTGGCTTGGCAGACTGTGGACATAATGCTTTAAAAGTGCTGCTTTGTGGCTGCAGAACGAGTACAAACTGTGTGTGGAATGAATGAAATTTCCCCCTGCTGCATTTTTGTTTTTTTGTTTTTTGAGGTTTTTTTTAGTATAATATCCTGCTCCTGGTTTTTTTTTGTCAAACCCAAACAGACTGCCTCCAGCCTAATGGTTATTTATGACTCCCTGTGTTCCTATAAGATATATTTATTCAAAGTCTGTGCATTAGGTTACTAATGGAGATGATGATTCAGCTGGCCTGGTTGGCTGGAGGACTAGTTTAAGCCTTTAATAGTCACTACTGTGGCCGTCTGCAGAACTCCAGCCGTCCCTGGTCCTGGTCCTGGTCCTGGTCCTGGTCCTGGTCCTGGTCCTGGTCCTGGTCCTGGTCCTGGTTTCCCTTCCAGGACAGCCCTTTATTTGCTATCGCCATGAATTTTTTTTCTTCTTTTTTTTATTTTTTTTTATCTTCATCCTATCCTTCCAATCTTCTCACTTTCATCGTTTCCATGTCTGGACCTCCAGCAGCCTTTGTGTGTTTTGGGTTTACACAGGAATGTGTCAGAAACCCAACACCTTACCCTGCGAGCTCCAGGAAGCAGCGGTGGATGGGACGGTGTTAGTTTCTATCATGCAATGATGTCATTCTAAAACAACAGTGTGATTTATAGACTGCTGATGTTTTACTGTGTCTGATGGCCAACGTGCATCAACAATGACATTCCAGCCTCCTCCAAGCGCTTGGCAGCGAGCGATTCCCACAGTTCACTGCATTTCCTGGTTGGGGACTGACTGCCTGACTTATGCGAGTTATGTTTGGCTGAGGAGAGGAACGTTTCTTTCTTTTTTCTTTTTTTTTCAAGCTTGATCAGATATTTGCACATAGTATTCATATACAAAAACTCAAAAGAGAGGCTGTGGAAATCTGCAGAGATGAACAAACTAAACCAACATTAGTCCAAGGACAAAGAGGACAAATTCAACAGGTCTGTCAGTGTGTTGTTGTTGTTGTTGTTGTTCAGGGAGTGACATTTGATGCTTGGTATAAAAACATGATAACAGTGTGAAGATCATCAGACCAAATGCACTGACACTGACTCCACTCTGTATTCCAACAGGAAGGCCAGCCTCATCCTGTCCCAGTTAGATGAACTGTCCCACTGGTGCAGGGGTCTCCTCCAGGAGCCAAAGATCGGTCTTCGCAGGATGTCCCTCAAATTCCTCTCCTGCCGTTACACCGACAGCAAGGCTTTCGGTCAGAACTGGTCAGACATGGGCCAGGATGTGCACAAGGCCTGTGACGAGCAGATGCTGGCCGTCATGTACAATGACTACGGTGAGCCTAAAGAGCTGTAGGTCCACTGTACTGCAGCAGTGAACGGAGGTCGACCATCAAATCCCCTCACTTAAACGGTAAATGTTTATTTACTAACGATATGTGTTCTTAATGTGTCATAAAAATCGTGATTGATTGGATGATGAATATGAGAAGGCCCCAAAATCAAATGCCGGGTGTTGAAATGCATCAGTTGAACAAAAAAAAAATCCCCACAGTGTGTGTAAATAACCACCTAAATATTAACCAGATTTACGCTTTCATTTTTGACCGCCTTACGTACTTGCTACACACGGGGGCACTATTATCAACAAAAACACCATCCGTTTACATTCATTTATGCTAAAAACAAGTTTAAAACAAGTTTTCGTTGGACAAGTTTATTCCTCATTGTTTCTGTAGACTGTATCTCACACAGCTTCTGCTGTCACTAAAACGCTAGCACAAGACAATGACAATAATGATCGACCTCAACAACAGGAAAACCACTGCAGTGTGGACGGTGTGTGGATGACGACCACAGAGGAGGGTCCTCCTCATCCTGGTCCAGATGTAGTGACGTAAGCTGCTGAATGTAGTAGTGCTGACGTTTTATATTTAAAACTCAAGCTGTAAAAAAAAACAAAACAAATGCACACGTCACCTGTGTTTATTTGCCTGTTACGAATATTCTATATAATATTTTTTTTCTTGAACTGATGTGAAAAGTGATAATTCTCTATTCAACCTGCAAGTAAACGCTCTAAATGTTTCTATCTGCTTTTTAACCTCCTTCAGAAATGAACTATTTACTCATTAGACCGTCTGTGAGAGTAGTGAGTGTATTTATATTTGATTTGATTTGATTTTAGTACAGAAATGGATATATATAAAAACATATTTTATTTATCCTCTACAGTACAGAAATGGATATATATAAAAACATGCTTGTTATTTTATTTAGATGTTTTTTATTTTATTAAATCTTACATGTGAATACTAATATTAGCGCTTGTAGATATTTGTAAAGGCGTCAAAGTATTTCCTAAACACTGCATCTACAGGACTGTGTTTTGGAGCAGGTGTTTTCTACACACCGCGGGTGTTGTTTTACCACAGTGACTGTATTTGTGTTGTAGTAGATACATTATTGTACTGTAATATCTGCTGTGAAATGTAGTACTCGTAATAAGGTCAGTCTAAATATTACAGTTTTTAGATGCAGACAATAAAGTCTGGTTGTACTCTGGCTGTAAGATGGAGATCGGAGCGGAGGTCTAACAGGGTCTGGGACTAAGTCTGGGACTAAGTCTGGGACCAAGTCTGGGACCAAGTCTGGGACTAAGTCTGGGACCAAGTCTGGGACCAAGTTCTTATCTTGAATTGCGATCAGTGGACGAAGAGACGTGTTTGAGAACATTTATTTGAATTTATTTTAAGTGTCCGTAGTGGACTGTGGTAGGAGAGAACCCCCCACCCTCACCCTCCCCCCTCTCCCCCTCTTCTCCCTCTACTATCTGCATGTTTATCCGATCTCTACTGAATGTGGCATCTTGAACTTCACTTTCTTACTTGGATTTTTTTGCTACTTGGAAGAAACAATAAAGGAGAAGGTGGAGAAGCTGGTTGCTGTTTTTCCTCGATGTTGTTCGGCCTCCGATGCCTTGGAGCTGTTTGGGAGAAACGGGGAATCTTTCATATTAGGGATTGTTTTCCACTGAAGCTGCTGAGAGTGGAACACATTAGTTAATGTGGTGAGAGGCTGTTATTGATCTGCAGGGGTTTTTTTTAATGCTCCCTGACAACAATGTCAGGCAGAGCGAAGCAGATTCCAGGAAAAATTGACATTTATTCCACAACTCTTTATCCTATCAGACGACAGGATACTGTAAATGTGGGTCCGGGGTCGTGTGTTCTCTTGGGTTGTTGGTCTTTGAATAAATGCCCCGTTGACCCCAGACTATTGAAGTGACTCCAGCACAGCAGTGGCCGCGCCTCGAGCCTGAATTTACTGACTGGTCACTGGTTTACTCTAGAGATTCTGTCACCTCTGCTCTAGGATGAGGTGGAGGTCAAGTGACCACTAGGAGTGTACTGCCTTATACCTGGAGGGTTGTGGGTTCTATTCCAGAAGTGTTTGGGTAAATATGTCACCCTCTTGTCAGTGGGTCAAAGGTCAAATCCCGTCGCCCGGTCGTGGGTCCAGACCAGCCACAGACAGAACACTGACAGCTCCTGGGGGAGTTGTCTGAAGCAGATGGAATTTGAGTTTGAAGAAAGTTTTAATAAAACTATTATTAGACACAAAGTTCTAACCGAGCTGGAAGCGATGGGCAGAACAAACTGCAGGCGACCAGACACCGTGGAGAGGCAGCAGTTTGACAGAAACTCAAACAGACAACAAACATGGAGCAGATCCTTCACTTTGTCTTCTGCTGCTTCATCGAAGGGTCAACGCAGCCAATTCCTGCAGTCATCAGATGGGGGCAGGCTTCACACCTGAGGTCAATTACAGAAGCTGTCAGAGGTGGAGGAGAAGCTGTGACCTCCACTCAGGACCACCACCCTCAGCAGCAGCAGCAGCACAGGCTGGACCTCCTCATCTTCCTGTTCTAAGGTGAGAGTACCAACCACGTCAACACCATGTGACCAAATGATGCACCAAAAAAAAAAGACAAAGTAAAAGTTCTGTAGGTGTCGGTAGAAAGTTGCTATTTATTTTCATATATTGTGTGAAGTACATTGAAATATCACAAATACCATGAGTACACGTTCATAGATACAGTATTGGAGAGAGAGAACAGAAAACAAAATAAAATAAAAAACCTTCATTTTTTTCATGTTTTTTTGTTTGGTGTGTTTTTCATCTTTGGAACGTGACGACGCGTCAGTGCTTCTCCTTCAACATGTTCACATTTATTATGACTTGTTTTTATTTGGTCTGAAGACGGTAAAACAAAAAAATGAAGCAGAAACTATGGTACAGGTAAATGTTGTTTTTACGATATGTGTGCGATAGAATAAAGTATGAGACGGAGTATATGTGGGTCAGTAAATACTGCAGTTGATCAAAATATATTATGGTCTATACATGTTAGTCTTTACAGATATGTTTCCTCTCACAGCTTCACAGCAGAGCGACCATCTGATGGGTGAGAAAAAGACCGTCTGTTTCTGAGAGAGTGGTGACGATGAAGTGACTCAGGAGATTTTCAATCTAAATTTGAGGTAAAAATTCAAAGGTAAAAGAACACATTTGAACTCCCACGACGCTGCTTTGGTTTAAATGTTACACAGAAATAGTTCTATGAGATTTTTCTTTCTTTTTTTTTCTACATGCCACAGAACTTGATGCCATTTTTCCTACATGATTTGTGCAGGATTACATCAAAATGATACTTAACTTTTTGAGTCAGACTGAAAATGTCCTGCTACAAATACAGCACTGAGAAAAAAACCATTAGCTTTGGAACAAGAAACACAAACTTCCACTTTAAGATGTTTTTGTGCTTCATTAGCTTGTATAAAAAAAACCAAAATTTCTCTCTTTTTTTTACACCTTTCATCACATTATAAGACCTGATGATGACTCATTTCTCTGACTCATTTCTCGGACTCCTTTTTCTGATTGTTGCGGTAAACAGTCTGTGTTTTTTTTTTGTTTTTTTTCTTAAATCTCCGATCTCACTGCGCTCCTCCTGCTGCAGCTCCACTTCCTCCTCCTCTGTCCGAGGACGCGGTTCTGTTCTTGTTCTCCTCGGCGCCCGGGTCACGACAACTGCACTCGTCCTGATTGCAGTCGGCCCCGAACTGAATGACCTGTGGGTAAATAAGGACGACACACAGTGGTCACATAGTCATCAGATCTTATATCTATCTAGGACCTCATATAATTATTTTTGTCCCATTTAAACATCAGAAAAACCTGTGAATGTTAAAAAATAACTGTAACTGGTTTAGACGCAAAAAAAAAAAAATAGACACGCTTTTTAAAATGCGGATGTGATGAAATCAAATAATCCCTCCGTGGATATATACATCCACGGAGGGAAGTCCCGTTCCCTCAGCTGGTCCACAGACTGAGCTGACCTGAGGTCAGTCTGCCTCCAGCAGGGGCAGCTTGAAGGAAACGTTACATCAGGTCTTTAAACGGAGGCGGTGTCACTGAAAAATGCTCTGGCTGCCGAGGTTTCCCAGTAGGGTTGTTACATTTCAACTGTAGCAGAGAGTACAACCTGGAATGGCAAAAACAGACAATAAAAACTACATTTGCTTGAACTGGCCGAGCAGCAAGTGAAGAGTTTTTGGTGCTGAAAAGTCAAGACAGCGTGGAAACCTGCGAGTGGGACCTCGGCCGACAGAGTCCACCGAGGTCCCACTGTGGTCCCACTGTGGTCTGCTGAAGGGTCCACACTGTGTGAGGACATCTTGGACTGACATTGAAGTCAGGATTAGAAATGGATTAAGGATTAGGATTAGGATTATATCTGTAAAAGGGTTGATACAAAGGCCAGTTTATAGCTATACTTGTGAGGACATCCTTTGAGGAAGGTTCTGTGATTGGGGGGGGGGGGGGGGGGGGGGTGGGAGGGGGGGC